AAAAAGTCAGCTCCAGTAATTAAGGGCAACTTCTGATGCTGATTTTTAATGAAACTTAGAATAATTCTTACAGACTAAAATAATGCTAGAGTGCCAGTTTTTGAAGTGTGAAAAAGTAAAAAGTGTCAAAGATGTGAGGAAGTCCTGTCCAAATGTGTGTGGTCTAGACACCTTGAGATCAGCCCTGGATCTTGTATTGGAAAGAAAGAAACAGCTAGAGGAAAATTAGAAGCCTATAAGATTAATTGTTAATGACAAAGTACAGAATAGGTCTTATCAAATGAATATGGGAGGAGATTGCAAATGTTTAACTGATTAAGGAAACAATGGCTATGCTTCAGCATATTTAAACCTTTTTAATTTCATTTCATTCTGATTTTAAATATGTTTTACAATACCTCCAGATTGTATATTAAGGGATTATGAACTATTTATTGCTGAATCATTTTTGTGGCATTGTCACTGACTGAACAAGCTGCAGCAAGTAAGATTGTACTCCTGCTTAACAATTTCTTCCATAACCCCGAAGAAAATTTAAAAATACTCTGAAGTAGTAGTGGTTAGAAAAGAAGTAAACAATGAAGAGGAGATATTAATGTGAATTGTTTGGCAAGCAGGTCATGTCCAAAAATGTTGTGGTTAAACTCCACATCTTGTGAAGAAAGAATTAAAGGTAGACTTACAGGAGGAAAGGCTTTGCTGGAAATGTAGGATCCTGAAAAATGATTGATGGTGTCAATGTAGATTGTAACTCCACATATGTCCTACACTGTTTTGTAAGGAGCTAGCTAATCTGAATTTGGATGTGTAGGTAAAACTAATAATGGATTAGAAAATGTTTTTACATTCAGTGAGACCAGCAGTGAGCAGCTGCATGCTTGTTAGCATCATTTCAAAAGGATGTTGGAAAAATCAGGAAAGACTCAGAAAAAAAGCCCTTCCCCCAATTATTTTATTCCTAAGGTCAAAATCTATCACTATGAGACTTAAAGAAGTCTTATTTTGTCTTGTTTAATAAAAAGGGATGAAATGCAGAAATTAATGGATCTGTGTCAGGTCACACAAAAGATACCATTTCAACAGACTCATCAATATCTGGGGGAAAAGTGGCAAAAGATTTAAGAATTTGAACTTGAAATCAGTAATTAAAATGAGTTACCTAGTTGAAGATAGTAATAAGATGCTGGAACATATTTTTATTGGAATGATCACATTCCCACACTGATAGTAGTAGGACTGCGTGTAAATATACACATTAATGAATGGTGGTGTGCCAAGTGTTTCTCCAGAATAAAGTTCTTTCTGAGAGGAGGTATAGCAGGATCCCAAAAAGTGTATTTTCAGCCCAATTTCTGTTCTTAAAATACTGAGAAGTTCAATGCATCTTCGGTAAAAAAAAAAAAATTGGAAGAAAAGTGAAAAGTCTTCGTCCCCATTGAGAAGAGTCTTCCCAATCAAATTGAAGAAAAGGGCACCTTTTCCTTCATGCACATATGTATTTTACTGTAAACAAAATAATTTTTGAGCTTGAGTTTTTTGTGCCTGAAAGAAATGAAGCTTGTGAAGGGAGCTTAGGTGCACAGTGGAAAATACTTTCTGCAAGCATTATTGATGTAGCTGTTACTTTACATCCAATTACTGAAAGCAGCACATGGTTAGACAGCTTTATTTGTTGCAGAATCAATTTCTTCTTGACTTTTATTACAGGTAAGAGATTAAAAACAGCTCTGTGAAATGGTGGGAGGAATTCCCAAGTGCAATAGCAATGGCATCATATGAGACCATTAAGTAAAGACTCAATTATTAATATCTAGTACTTGGCAATTCTGAAAGGTAGAGGAAGCTTTTAACTTGCTGTAGTCTCATAGCCATAGCACAAAGCCCTTTAAGAATCAAGGTGCTTGTATTCCATGTTTTTCTCCACTGTGTTATTTTAATAACAGACATTAGGACTTCAATAATTTACCACTGTCATGAATACTGATAAGAAGGTAGTATGGAAAGTGCATCTCAAAGCAACTGCTGTGTTTATGTTCTCTTCACACTAATCTTCGAGAATTTTATTTAACAACTTTAGCAGATAAGACTGGAAACTAAAATTTACTTGATATAAAAATTCATGGTGTTAGTGAGTTAGTTTCATGGCCTATTTTGCCTTCTCCGTGCCTTTTCTCCTAGGTAATCTTGCTGTTGCACAGCTGGTAGGAAAAAACAGCAGAGTCTGGCACTGAGAGCCACTGTGTGGTCTCTGATACTGCCTTCTTGGCCCCTCCACTGCTCCAGAGGCATGGATTAACCATCCATCCCCATCCTAGTTCATCTGCTAGTTTAGTTTAGCTAAACTCAGGAATTTGCATTTGCTTGCAATTCATTCTTAAATCTGCTGCTTCTGTTTCTTCGTTTTTTCCCCCGATTATATTGTTTGATCTAATCAAATACTGGTACTATTGCAGCTGAAGTTATGTATAATCTGTGTATATGATGATATCTACGTACACCTAGATATACTTAGGTATATTTGTTTTTGAATGCACGTGTATCACTCTCTTAGGGAATTGGATTCCTGCAGTGAAAGTGCGCAAAAGACTGCTAAATGTGTCTGGTTTCAAATTTGAAAACAAAGCTTTTAAATTGATTCCTTAATAAACTTTGTGTTAATGTTAGCTCCTGCACAGCAGTAATTATTGCTGTGTGTGTACAACTGTTAGTCTGTAATGCTTGTCAGTCTCTAACACTAAATTAACTGTGACTGTACAGTAACTTGCAGCTGCTGCTGTTCAGCTGGCACTGGTGGCCGAGGTCCTCTCAGTCTCTGGGTGAAGGTGATGAGGCTGGAGGGCTCTTAGAGAGAGGAAATGTCTCTTAATTTCTTCACTCTAATTGCGGGTGTTTCCTGCTTCTTGGCTTCCCTCCCATGGATACAGCTGGTTTTTAGCTTGTTTAGCTTCTGCCAGTCATGCTTCTTGTGCCTTGGGCAGGATGCCCTGCCTGTTTTCCTTCCCATGTGCTTATTTTGGTCTGTATCTTGTACCTTCTGGCATTAGTATGCCTCCAAAGTGCAGCTGTGCTCACTAGATGACATGCTTGTATGTAATGTTGGGCTGTGCCTGCAGTAATTAGTATTACAAAGTATTTGCATGGTGGGCATGCAGCTGTTTAAGTGTGCTTGCATTTGGGGTTTGAGCAGGCTAATGCTAACTACACTTTTCTACTTCAGCTACACTAGCCACAAACCTTGCTCCTTGTTTTATTTCTGATTTCAGCAAAGAAAGGGAGTGATCTCAGATGGCTAGAGGTTCAAGAAACATTTAACTTCAGGATGGCAATCTTTGTACTTAGAGAACCAGATGTGTTGGATCTTTTTTTGTCAGAATGCATCATTGTTTGATCAACACAGGGACACTTCCCTTTCTCTATTTATCCCATCACAGGACTTTTCTGTGAAGCTGGTCTAGGCTGTTGTTCTGAAGCTGTAGCTTTGCACACAATCCATAGGGAATTTGTTCAGCATATTCCTGTGCTGTGGTTGTAGGGCTGATGAATGTAAGTTTGTGCACTGCATTGCCCAGCTCAGTGCTAGCTGTAAATACTAAAAACAGTCAAGCAGAGTCTGCCCTTGTTGGAGCATCAAGGGAAGAGTTCTTGATTTTCTTGGAAATATTTAAATGTTCTGTTTGTAGACAACATTTAACCAATCTTGAACATGAGTTACTGTTTTGTTATCAAACGTTATTTTATTGTTTTCCATGTTATTTTGGAAGGATGCACAGGGGGGAGACCTGTCTTCCAAAAAGGATATAAAATTGATTTTCATTGTCTCTTAGAAGAAAAGCAAAGCCACACTGTAAAAACTGAAACAGGGAAAGCCAGGGGGAAAAAAAGTTTTTATATGAGGAAGCATTTTATTCCTGTTTTTGAAATGCTGAATTTTTCTAAGAAAGGCTCAAATATCATTTGTGGCTTTGAAGATTAAATATTCCCCTTCAAATGGATTCTGTCTACAAGCTGACTGGCTGAATGGTGCTGTAGTACAGGAGGTGACCGGTTACATCTTGCTTTCTGAAATGTCCAGGCAGTGAAGGTGTAAAATGATTTCTGCTCTTGAAGGTTTTGGGAGTTTTTTTTTATTGTGTGCAGTGCTTATTTTCTGGGTGGAGCATCCTGGACTCAGGTAACATAAACCTACTATACAGACGCAACAATCCTGTTTCTTTCTGTCATAAGTGATACAATCGGACTTCTCAAAGTTTAGATTCTTTTAAAGATTTAGTGTGATTTCAGCATCTTCCAGATTACTCTAAGTAACCCAAAATTTATCATTACAATATGGGGCTATTCTACTGGATAAAACAATTAAAACCATCACAAAACCAACAAACACTAAACAACAGCAAAATAGCAAACGAACAAAAACCCCACAAATTACAGCCTCTAGTTAAATGAACAGTTTCCTGGATGTAACTGGATGTTACAGTCTTGCCAGTTGTTTTTATTAGGTTATATACATAGAGGTAAGTAGTACAGTGAAATCTGTGAGCTAGAGGACAGATTTCAAGTTCACTTCTTTTGCAGTCATTGATTTGTCAACTAAAAAAATCTGGTTCAGCTGACTAGTGGAAAAAGCCAAGACATTGGGATACGGATAATTTTAATACATTTTTATACATCCTATACAAGATAGATTGAACATATAATTACTTGCTAGTATTTCCAAGTATTGATTTCCTTTTCAAGCTATCTAATTTCTCAATAACCAAGCTTTAGTATCATACATCAATTATTTATTATGGCTTGAAAAGTGATTGAAAATTATTGAGTCTCTACTTATGTTCTTTGAAGGCACAGCTGCACCCTTTGGGGGAAACTTATTTTGTACAATTATTTGCATGAAGGCAGCAGCATCCTGTAGCCATGAAATATTAAGCTATGTACATTGAGATAATCTTCATCTTTACACACTGAGAGTAGGATCTTGATTTTTAGCTCTGTAGGCCATCTTGCAGTATAAAATGTCTCTTTGCACTGTAATTTATATGGGAACCGTAGTGAGAAAATAAATATGGATGAGTGTGATAATAGTTAAGTTTACTGTTCATACATTTTTCAGAAGTGTCTCTGTTGCTGCTCAGTCTTCTATTTTCAGTTTAAATTCCACTTTGCCTTCATACGGATCATGAACATTGTAGGTAATTCCAGCTCCAATGACTTTGCACACTATTTTAACTTCTACATTCCTTGTAATGTTGAGAAATTTCACAGCTACCAAGGGATTGCTGTAGCTGGGCTAGAAGGAGAAATAAAAAAAAAAATTAAAAAGAAAATACTTAAATTTGACATTACAAGTTTAGAAATAGCCTTTCCAGTTCTCATAGGATTGCAGAGATGCTTCATATGTTTCACCTGACATAAAGAGAAAGAAAAGCTAAGTACAGAAGCACCCACCTGGGCCTTTTTCCCGTAGTAGGGGAAGTAGTGCAGGCTGAAGGTGCCGTTCACAGGGTAATAGTCCGCCTCCAGCGGGAGCGACTCCTCGCCCTGTGCGTAAAATAAAACCAGAGAGGAAGAAGCTCTGCTGAGCAAATCATCGGCCAGCCCCAGACAAGTGTTTCAGGGCTGCTAAGTGTGTGTTAAAGCTCGAGTTCAGCAGGATGTTTAGCACCAGTCTTATTTTTCAAGTAAAAGTGGGACTCTCCCGCTGTTACTATTGCCAAGAAAAGCAGGCAAGTGTCCTTTGATAGCAGCTGGGAATTCGGTGAGTCGGAGCTGCGCTGTGAACGTCGCTACAGGAACAGCAAATGTTCTCTGCAGCCCGAAAATGCAATTTTCCAGATGATTTAAATAAAGCAAACTTGGAGGTTTTTTCCTTCGCATATCAGCTGGTGCAAGAACTGGCACAGAACTGAGAATATTCCAAGTATTTGGTATCTGATTTTCAGAGCTGCAAGGGTTTTTTTTCTGGTCACCACTGCACTTGCTTGCTCTCAAAGCTGCAGTGCTTGACATGTGTGAGACCCAGCCCTCATACCCTTACCACATATGTGCAGTTCACCCTTGGTGCAGTGCCATTGCCAGGGTAAAACTTGATAATCTGAAAAAGAAAACATATTTGGTCATCTTGGAAATTCTTTTGAGATAAACCTGGGCAATCAATTATTTGAGAGCTGAGCTTCAAAGGATGTTTAAATATGTTCCTGTGTAAGATTCTCTCAAACAAATCATCTCATTTATGTAGGTGAAAAACTGTTGTGGCTGGATATTTAGGAAGCAGGACTCAGCATTGCCTGGGATGAGCACTGCTGATGGGCTCTGGGCTGGCCAGAGCAAGTAGCACAGCACCTCCTCTGAGTCCAGCTCATTTACCCACCCATACCACCTGCCCTTGCTGATGCCCAGGCAGCCAGGGATCTCTTAAAGCAATGAATCATGTGTCAGCTAAGGAAAAGCTGAATACCCATGCTTTTCACCTTATCTGTCTTAGAAAACCTTGGTTTTGGCAGAAAAACCCTCGGGCTGGTTTGGTGCTACAAAACTAGTGGGGTTGCATCCTGTAGAGGCAAAAGTGAAAGGTGAAGCCCCCTGGTCTCTATCCACATCTTTTCCCTGCTGGAGGTGGCACCCAGTCTAGCTAAAGAAAACATTTCTGGAAAACGCTTGTTTCACCAGCCAGAGTCGGGGGCAGAGCTCTGCTCTCAATTGGGGCTTGCATAGGTTTTTGGAAATGCCTAAGGTGCAAGCCAAGCAAAAAATATGGTGGTTTTGTCCATCAGAAACTGGAGGAGAACTTGAACTCCAGTTTCTACCAAAACCAAATCAGAAGGCTCAGAATTTTACCCGAAAAGAAATATAAAGTGCTTATGCCTTTGTCAACATTCTGAAAAAAATTAAAGCCTTGAAAATTTCCTTTATTCCTCTCCAAAAAACGTGTTGGTGGTTTTCCCTGAGAAAAATATCCACCGGGTTTGAATTTTGGTTTTATAGGTTCTTCTAAAGATTTTCTTTGCCACCTGGGGAAATAAGATACCATCTCTCCGAAACCACATCAGTTACTGTCACATCCTGGTGCCTCAGCTGAAGGCACAGGGCTGTGGTATTGCAGGAATAAACTCAGGTGCTAGTTTGTGGGATGAGAGCCCTACAGAGGCATAAAGTAAACTAAACTAAACTAAAACTAAATTAAACTAAAGTAAACTAAACTGTAGAGAGTCAGTTCAGAGATCACTGCTATATGTTACTTTTGTAGGAATGGTGAAAAAGTCCCAGGATTTCCCTGGTAGCTCTAGTGGTCTGTCAGGTAACAGCATGTGATTTTTGGTTGCCAGTCAAAAGCAGAGTTTAGAACCCATGGCAGCAGAGACACAGCAGCTCCCCAGCGGAGACCCAAGCTACTCTTAATTTTTTCTGCTCAGCACCTTGAACTTGTACTTACCCTGTTCATTTTTATAATAAAACAGGGTTTTCCTTCTGGAAATCCAAAAGTTGGATCTGTGATGCCAGAGCAGTTTTGAAGCATGTCTGTGGTGAATTTGCAGGATAGTTTTGTTTTATTTGGGCCATCAAAGGTGTCCTGGATGAAGTAGGTGTTATTGGTGCAGTTGATGTTCAGATGCTGAGCAGCTGGTGTATATGCTAGATGTATGAAAGAAGAAAGGAAAAAATTCTCTCTGAAGCTTTTCATATGCAAATTATACATCCCAACATCAGGCTGGAGATTCTGTCATGGTAGATTGTACTTCAAGTGAAGTTGGGATTAGCTGGAACAAGGAAAGTTTAAGCTGTTTAGGGGTTTGGTTCTGTTTTGTTGTGTATTTTTTTCCAAATATCCAAGCAAAGCAAAATAGATTAAATTGAGTTAAGACTGGCAGCCTATGTTGATAGCTCCATATAAAGTCAATTTCAAATATGATTTTTCTCAATATATCTGTGAGAAACGTAAAGAATTACAGTACTAAGGCTCAATAGGAATATAAACATGCTAAGACATGAACAGGTAAATGGAGCACAGAACCTATTTTGACTGTATTCCCTGAAGACACCATGCTTTATGAGATATATTATGGTACTTTGATGTTTGTAGTCATAGACAAATTAATTATATTAATTTAAACTAGACTAATTTTGAAGACCTTTGTCCTCCCTCTTCCTTCAGACTTCCTACTGGTCTCTTTTATGAAGGCTGTTTAGGATTAAACAAAATAAAAGCCCTGAAGCAGAGCCTGGATTTTAATAGATGTGTACATACGTTTGATTTATAGATTCATGAGGTGATTTGCTCATCCCTTTCAGAAGATGCATTTTCCACTTAAAATCTGTGATTTGAGAAGGAAAAATGTAAAATGGAAGCACTGACTTAAGGTCCTCAGATCTAGTATTGGAAATAAGGCAGCACCTTTCTTCAGTATTATGCAAGAAACTTCATTTTTACCTGTCAGAAAAGTGTGAAGAGTTGTCACTAAACCTTCCCAGGTTTTGTTGTCCGATACGTTGTAATAAATTTGTAGTCCTCTATCCCCATAAACATCAGGCCGTAAGGTTACACCTTCACGAGGGGGAAAGGGGAAGACAAAGCAGAGGAGAGATGTCAGGCACATCTCTCTCACATTGTTTATTTAAATTGACAGTAGCAATTATGCTGCATCAAGACTCATTCTAAATGTAAAAGATCCTCCAGCCTTTCTGGGGAGCATTTAACCATGTTCAGAAACCACTTCAGCTGTGAGTTGTTCAACCAAAACCCTAAAGCCTGCGGAGCTACTGATTTTCCTTTCACATATATCCATGCTATTACAAGAACAGCTTGTAAAATCATTCCAGCAATTGCACTGGATTTCCCCAGACCTGTTAGCAGTAACAGTCATGTGGTGTTAAAAAAACAGATCATACAGCAGCATGAGAAACAGCTTTTGAAAAAGCCACACATAAGATGTCACAGGAATTATTTTCCCAGCAAACACCAAACTTGCTAAGTACTGGGAGTGGAAACTTCAAAATACAAAAGCATCTGACAGAGTAATTTTTAGGACTATTTTTTTTCCCTCCCATTGTGGAAACAAGCCATTGGGGTGTGAAGTTTTAGCAGTGTGCTAAAACTTATGTTCTCTGATCATCTCGCCTATCTCTTTTCATGTCCCACAAATCTGAATTCTAATTCCACATTTTTGTCTTATTTTTGCTTCCTTGACTACTGGCACAGCACATCCTGCTGGCAAGGTATTCCTGCTCTCCCAGGGACTTCCCATGGTGCTGGCAAGTGTAGAAATATCCACCCCAGGCTGCCCAGCCCCTTGCCTCTACATCTTGCTGGGCACCCCAAAGCCCTCTGTGGTGCTTGGGGGTTTGGAGTAGAACCTAGGACTTCCCCAGGGACTGACCCCTGCTCATGGGGAGAGAAGGTGACCTGCTACAGGTCCCAATAGCAAGATGAAATTAATGAATATATATATATATATATATATATTTCATATTATATGTTCATAACTATATGGATATATAAGTATATCCATGTATCAATACATAAATAAATGTGCCAGATTTTTTTTTAAAGCCTGAAAGTGTTTTCAGGCAGAGGTTAAACTTTGCAGGGATTGTCTGGGCAGAACTGACTGATGTATTCCACGTTTGTCTCCCCTCAGCCCTGGGCTCTGCCAGTGCCTCTCAACTCAGCCCAGCCCAGCACTACGCAGCCCTGGCAGTACCTGGGGATTTCAGCTGGTCTTGGTAATCCGGCTCGTAGGGATTAATGGTCCTCATTAAAGAATAAATGGAGAGTGCAAACAGCCCTGACATCACCACGTAGAAAGCCAGGTAGTAGAGGATGATCCACACTGTGGAAAGAATAAGGGCAGAATTTCACATTGTGAGCAAGGCTGTGCAGTGCTTTCAATGTGGCCAGGATGATCCAGGCAGCAGCAGTTGTCTCCTTTCCACCCGTGTCCCAGGAAAGTTGTCCCTGTAGAGGGACTTGTGCTTTGGAGCATTTTCTCTACACTCAAAAAATATTCTTACAGGAAAAAATTGTATCATTCTACAAGGATTTTTGAAGGAGCTGGTGCTGAGCTCAGATTATTTAAAGCTTAAAGGTTATGTGGCATCTTGAAGAAATTTCACATATTAAGACCATTTATCTACTTTTTAAACATGGACTAAGCAACACAGATGATGAGGTGTTTCTTTGACAAATCCAAGTTTGCTCTTTGTGTTATCTGGATGACAGATGGCAGTATACAGCTGAAATCACCAACAGCAAAATAAGCCATCTTGCTACTTTATTCTGTTGTGAGATAAGATTGATGCTGTGTTTCTGTCTGTATGTGCATAACATCTTATGCATGGCTGGTGCTGTACAAGCAGCCAGGGGTTGTTTCAGAGGGTTGCTATTAGAAACCTCTGCATGTAATCATAGGTGCCTTGTAGCACCTTCTTCTCTACCAGCTGGAAAGGCTCACATTCCAGTTGCATCATCTGTGAAATTCTGGTTTTAGGAGTAGCCAATAAACTGCATGCACAGGCAGGAAAAAATCACCTGGAAACTTGCAGCTACTCCTACAATCTGTGGGAAGAGTATGGATCTTTCTTACAATGGTCCTGGCTGCTCTTCCCAGAAAGTCGATCATAATACAGATCAGCATGGCAGACACAAGTTTGGCTGTGGGAAGGGAGGCTCAGCTGAAACACTTGCTAGTATAAAATACATGCTGGTATGAAATACCTGCTAGTATGAAATGCATGTTGCTATGAAATACATGCTAGTACACAGTGATAAGAAACAAGATCTACTGAGCAGACGATAATTCAGAAAGGAATTTCAGAAAAACAAAACTTGTTTCCAAAGAATTGGACAAACTCACTGATTAAGCAAATGTACCATGTACCTGAACCCCCTTTTAATTAGCAATGTCAAAACCACACTGTAACCATCACACCTACCTATTAATAAGTCTCCTGTTAATGTGTTAATTTTTCTCCTTTTGAAGTATTTGGTTCAAAACTAAACTTCGAAGTCATACGTTTTCAGGAACTACGTGGATCAATGTTTTGATCTACTTGATCCAGCTCATAAAGCTGCCCAAAAAGTGGCTTAGAAGCTCATATGAGAACTGCTGGCTTCAATACAACTACATTGTGTCCCCCACCGCAGTTTTTAAGTTTACCAGAAGGAAGAGAAGAATCTGGCACATAAAAACCTACCCCAGTTAATTAAGGACCTTCCCATGAAGAGCTTTGTTTCTGGATTCCAGACAAAACGACGGAAATCGGCCATACGTTCGCTGCAGGTCTTCTTTTCATTTAAAGTTGCCATTTTCTCAGAAAATTTCCCAAAAATGTGTCCTCTGTGAAAACTAAGAAATTCAACTGGTGCCCAGACAGTTGACCAAGAAAAAGACTTTGGGTTTTATACCTTGTTTTCCAATGAAGGTCACTGAGATTGCTTCCTGTGCCAATGAAAGCCCCTGCTCACCACTATCAACCTTTATAAAGGGTGTTGATAACGCTGGCACAGGAAAGTTTGTTCCTATCAAACACCTTTCTCCTTTCTCTTCACTGCCTTAGCAGGTCAGCAGAGTTACGCATTTGCCAATTGTGTGTTGGGTTTGCGATAGACTCTGTGTGATAGCTGTTATCAGAGCAGATAAAGCAATGGAGAACTTGTTTCTCCCTGGGTTTTCTTTTTTTCTTTTTTTCCAAGTAACCTGCAAGTAGTAGATACAGTTCTCCCTCTACAATTGTAGCCATTTGTTGGGACATAGGGTATTGCAGGGTGGATGGTTAGAAAATAAGTAATTACTCATCAAATATGCAACTACTTTTGGGAGCTCTTTGGAAGCAGATGGAAGACAAGAAGGTGGTTGGGATTTACCAAAGGCGCACCACAGTCTGTGAGACAAGTAGACTGGTCAGCAAACACGGAGGCTTTCCAATTCCACATCACCCAGTTTGACATCAGCAGAGCTGGTGACACAGCAGCCAGGTGGGGAGCTGTGCTTTGGCTTGGAAGGGCCGGGGGATAGATGGCAACAGGAGGACAGCTGGGACTGCAGTGCAGCACTCAGCACGTGGACATCCAGATGCAACCAGCATGGAGTGGCATCCCTGAGGGGCCAGAACTGACACTGGGATACAGCCCAACTCAGTCAAGCCAGAGCCACAGAATCACAGAATGGTTTGGGTGGGAAGGGACCATAAAGACTACCTAGTTCCATCCCCCCCTGCCATGGACAGGAACACTTTCCACTAGACCAGCTTGTTCAGAGATCCATCCAAACTGGCCTTGAACACTTCCAGGGATGGGCCACCCACAGCTTCTCTGGGCATTCAGTTTCATTGTCTCACCACCTTCACAGCAAATAATTTCTTCCTAGCATCTGATCTGCACCTACTCTCCTTCAGCTAAAGGTCATTACCCCTTGTCCCTGAGCATGCAATAGGTCTCCCCTGTTTCATATCACAAAAACCCCTGATGGGCTGTCCTCCTCTCTTCCAAGACACAGACCTAGGAATGCATGCAAAAATATTAATTATGTCTTTGGTGAGATCCAAGTGTCAGCACGAGGGGCTCAGAGGGGACACTGGGCTGTGTGCTGCATGCTGTGCATGTGGACTGCCTGCTCCTAATCCATGTCTCCTTCATGGACTTGTCCCCTGTCCCTCCTCTGTTTTGCAGCAACAGAGACCATGAAGAGAAAAAGGCCATCAAGAGCAGAACCTTATTAAGTATAAGAGTTCTGAGTGTACAAGTTTCCCATTGGGAATCTAGGGATTTTCCACCACCTTACAAACAAGCTGACTTGGAACTTGGTGAATTGCCAGATGCTTGGCATGGCTGAGCCATAGGCAGCATCCATGTACAGCTGTGACAAATCTGGGATTCTCCTGGAAAGTTTGTGCATAAGTGAAAATGAACAGTGCCTGCCTGAAATGGTTTATCAAGGTAGTATGGAGCAATTGCTTTTCTACGGGCTCTGGTGAAGGGCTCCTGAACACTGCAATAATTTGTCAGGACACTTGTTTCTGACCAGTGGGCAACTCTTCATGGCCCCACAGGAGGGCTGGTCTAAGCTCATTCTTGCCTTATAGTCCATTAGGGTTCATCCAGTGCCCCCTTTCCTCACCTGCCCCTGGAGGGCTGTCCATCAGGCCCTGGCATTGTGGCCATTGCAGCCAGCCCTGGTCCCATTGCAGTGCCAATCCCCTGACCCAGAGCCTTTTGTTGTGTTTAATGTACCCCGAGCTGCTCAAAGAGGGACTAATGTTTGCTTTCTTTGGCTGGTTTTTTAATGCCTGCCCCACTGACCTTGGGCTGGCCACCAAAGGGAAGGACAGCAGAGAGGGAAGGTCACACAGGAGAGAGAAAAGGTTGCTCAGGAGCCTGGAGTGGCACAAGGCTGGAGGTGAGACTTGACCTGGCTTCCCCGCCTGCACAGCCCAGGCATGTTGGTGGCCAGGGCTAGGCAGGATCCATTGCACTTTCTTTCTCTCTTGCTGACCAAGGCACCAACAAGACAAAGCCTGAGCTCAGGGAGACCAAGAAGCTCCAAAAGAAACCAGTGGAGAATGTGTTTGCAAGGGTCACACTGCTGTGACCAGAGATAGCTGAATGATATGTACAAACAGGGAGGTGAAACCCCTTCCTCTTTCTGGGGTTTGCAGAATTAGCAACTTGAAGACCACTTTTGCAGCACTGTGCCTAAAAGGTCAGATCCAGGCTGAGACCTTATCCCTTGGAGATGTTGTCCTGAGCAGACCTGTGTGCCAGCACTCCTTGGCACTCCAGGCCTGGCTTTATCCCAGGCTCCTTACATGCCACACCAGCTTGAACTGCTCTAAGTTCACCCAGCGCTGACTGGGAACTCAGTGTCAATGTTAATAAAACATTAACTTTGTTTGCTCATGATAAAGGCACTTACAGATTCCTCCCTCTTGTGGAGGCTGTGCAGGAGATGGTGGTGGTGGGGAATACCAGGAGAGACAGGTCACTGCCTGAAGCTTCACTGCCAGCACTGTGATGGGGTCAGCCATGGGGTGGTTCCATGGCACTGCCTCTCCGAGCACTGTGATTTCAGCCTGTCTCCTGAAGGAGGTGTTCATCCCCTGATGCCTTGGTGATTCCCCACGTGCAGCACGGACTGCATCAGCTGGAGAATCCATCCTGGTATAACAAGATGTGGGGAAGGATCCCATGGGCTCCCTCCCTATGTACCTGGGGGTTGTACACTAGGCTGGCATTGGAAGTTCATCTTCCTTCCATGGCAGAAATGAGATGTATGCCTTTGCCTTTGGCCCAGGTTTGTCTTCTGTATTAAAAAGTCAGAAGGCAACTGGACATCTCAGGCCTTCTCTGCCTTTCTCATGGAGAGGGCAAAAATTTCTCCTGAAAGTTTTCTGAAATAAAGAAGTCTCTCAGGCAGCGTGGCACAGTGAACATTCTTTGCATCAGGCTTTCTATCTAGTTTCAGAGTTTGAGGTGTGATTTTTTTTGTATGTGTTATGTTTTTTCCTTTGCTGCATTGTGTTTCACTAATAATCCCTCTCATTTGCCTCTCTCCTGTACTTTGCAGTTTGACAGAAGAAAATACACCGGCATTTTTTCAAGCTAGAGAGCACAGTTATTCTGTGTTTGAAATAAAGATCTGCAGCCTGAGCAATTCAGGGAAGCACAACTGGAAAAGCATCTTGGAGTTGAACTGAACTGATGCTCCCACTATTTTCAGCCTCAGAGAAAGCAATCATAGCAAGGAGGGGTATTTGCAATAGTGCTGTGCTGGGTTTATGATAGCACAGCATGATCAGGCAGTGCAAAAGGCAAAGCAGCCTCTCTTCAGGGTTTGGCTGGTCTCTGCTTTTCTGTCCTGCTCTTGTTTTTCAAGGGCTGCAGACCCCACCACGAGGCTAGCCATATCCCTCTACTCACCCTCTGCCTCCTGGGAATCCAAAGGAAATTACTGCTGTGAAAAACTGCTAAACTGACTGCAAAAATAAACCTAGCAAAGCCCAGTGGTGTTTCTTTCAGGCATGGTTTAGTGCCAAAGCCTGCTGTTTTGGGGCAGCTTACTACTGCTTGTGGTTGATTTCAGATGATGGCAAATAACAGGGTCCTTGGGAACGTTAAACATCCCATGAACTATCTCCAGCAGGTCTGACCTCATCACCTTCCACTGAAGGTGAATGTGGACAGGCTATCACAGGCCATAGAGTTTCAGGTGGTGTCACAAGAAAACAAGCCACATGCCCAGCTGAATGTGCATCTGCAAAGCTGTACCCTAGCTCTTATTACACTCAAAATCTTGTTTGTGGACAAAAGGAATGCTCATCAAGTAAAGTCAAGAATTTATTGATAACATAAATTAAATGTTAAGAGTCTAGTCATTATGACTCCAAATCTAGCTGTTACAGGAGAGAATAATGCAGTAAAACCCACACACACATTTTCAGCCTCTGTGCTTTTTCCTTGATTTTGCATTCCCCATCCACTGTTTCTTGGGGTCCCAAGGAGGTGGGGTGTTGTGGGTGGCAGGGACAGCCAGAGGCAGGGACATCCAGGGATATCCCACAACTTGCTCAGCCTTCAAACCTGGGGTCAACAGTCTTCAACAGCCTGACCTCACCATGGCTGTTGTGGCACTGTCACCTTGTGAGATATGGCTCCCCTCTACCTTTTGCTCTTTCCCTTATGCCTCCCTACTTCAAAGACTGTTAAGATACTGCTTAGCCAAGCTATTAATAATTTAATAACTCTTCAGTCTTGCTTCCTGAGCCAGTTACCTTAAACTCTGCTACTGACATTTTCTTCTTAGCTCCTCCCAGCTTGTATGTGGCTTGAGAGTAAAAATGTGTCCAAAATTTGTGGCCACACCAACCTCCAATCATTAAAATCCATGGCAGTGTGCCTGCTGGCTTAAGTTTACTTTGGGATCTGGCCTAAAGAGAAGAAAACTGCTTTGTCAGCTTGGTAGCATCATCTGTCAGCATGACTTGCTCAAAATTATGTATGGATTTTTTTTTTTTTTTTTTTTTTTTTTTTACACAGCCTTTTTTTAGAGGATGTAATCTGGTGTCAGCCAAAGTGGACACTCCCTGACCATGGTGGAGCCTTGCCAGATCCTGGTGAGAAGATGACTGCTTTTTTGGTCACATATCCAGAACCTGGTCCCCAGCAGTCAGTGAAAGCTCCTGCTGTGCCCAACACCACAGGGAGCCCAGCTAAGGTAAGGAAGCCTGGAGCGCTCAGGGTTTGCCTGCTCACAGCAGGCTTGCAAAGCCTTTGGCTGTGCTGGTTTGGACCTTAACTCTGCATCAGACTGT